TAATCCTAATTCTAGCACACGCAATGGTTACCCCTTCACGGTAACCCCAAAACCTAACGATCACCCCACACGATGATCTTGCTATTGCTGAATTTAAATGGATTAAGCCAATTTACCAGAGCGGGCCTATCTGAGTCCGTAGAGTGGAGAAAAACGAGCTTGCTGTTGAATTTCAGTCGGCGTCGTACCAAAGGGCAAAATCGTCCAACTTTTTCTGTGTAACCTGAAATACAAAACAAAGTATATCAGCGCGTTCAGGAGATCGAAACAAGCAAGTTACCTGAAGACAGCGTCGTTGGACAGCCGCCCATGCGCCACCGCCGTCAGCCCACGCGCCGTCGCCACCACCCACGCGCCGCCTCTCCGGGAGCGCCTCGACCTGCTGGTGATGGGTATGGCCTCCGTTTGTCCAACCGAGCTTTGGTTTGTGAGTAATTGGAAATTTTCAGATTCGATTTCTAAGGTTCAAATCCGAAATTCAGCCGATTTTGAGCCAATTTTTGCTACCCAAGCTCTGATACCAGATGTTAGGATCTTCCTTAAGCTGCTCAAAGTGATTTCCGGGCTCAGTTAACCATTAAACATCGAATTCAACACCAAAACCAAAGATGACCGAATTCGTCGGCGCCCAACTTCCTATGGTTGCTATTTCCTCTTTTGCTTGTTGATTCAACCACACACTTAGGATGGATACCACACAGGTAAGAGTCACAAAAGCTCAAGCAATTGGCATGGAAGACAAATCACGAAGAAGAAGGCACAAGAAGAAGGCAGCAGTTCTCCTTTGCTCTCGGGTTCTATCAAAGACGGGTTAGGAGTAGAAAGAAAACCACCAATATATATATTAGTTAAGTGGCCAACATAAGGTAAGTCAAAATATGGTAAGTAGGCTCGACTAGGGTTAAGTCCCAATGGAAAGAAACAACAAGCCACAAAGAGTATTAGCCATCCAATAGGTAAAGCAACGTTTGGTTGGTTCATCCATTATTCGATGTTGAATTATCGTTCACTCATTCATGTCGACTGATAAAATTGGTTTTCATCATCGCCCGGGAGGTCGTTTGACAACATGATGTCTAACAATTATGTTTAAGAATTCTTCAGAATATCGCTAATACAATACTCTCATATCTTGAATAGTATAATTTTGCAATTAATCTACAATTTATCCTTTGTTTCCAAATATTTACTTAATTCTAGCTATCCTTGTACCGATTATTTTTAGTTTAGTTTTTATTCCTAGATTTTTGGATTCATGAACTCTCTAATGAGGATGTGGATGTTAACAAATTCTTCTATAGTTTTAATGCTCCCATCTTTGATTTCTCTCAAGCTTGCCATGTTCAAATTAGGAAAATATTGATACTTCTAAAACATTACCATCGAGCTGATGATAATTTAGTAGAAGCAATATCTACGAAGAGATGAAAGAAGGCAAAAGCTCATAACCCAATTTCTAAATATTGAAAATACTTCAAGAAGAAGAAGACAGTTGAAAATATGGAGAAGATTACTAAGGCATATTGTAATTACTGGAAAAATAACTTCACTTGTATATAAAAATTGTATCACTTGCCCCTCCGTGGCACAGCTCAACTGGTGGATCAATCAACATTGTCTTGCTTCCAGCGGCAGGGTGGAGGTTCGAATCCTGGTGGGAATCTGCGGCCAGATTTATTTGGTATGGAGCAATCACTTTGGAGGAGGGTCTCTTGTGCGTAGAAGTGTACAGGCGGTGGGGGGGAACCTGAGATCCAGTTGAAACATAACCCGCGATTTACCCCCTCCAAGGCTCTAGGGGCAAGGGTCTTGGGGGTCCCGGATTTAGTCTAGTATAAGCTGGGATACCTGAATATCAAAATAAATAAATAAAAATGGTATCACCTAGTATAACATTATGAAAAATCCCATGTTCACATTGAGACTGTCGACGGTAGGAAGACTCAACTTCAATTTGATTCAAGCAAAAGTGGACCTTTTGGAGCAGTTCTTGCAAATTGGGTTTATAATCCAAAAACACTCAGGAAAGCATAGTAATATTCGTAGATAGTGCTATGTTGCTACTATCCATAGTAGAAAAGTGTGCATTTGATGAAATTTATATGAATATATTTCCAACCAAGGTACAAACCTCCTAGTAGATCTACACTTTGTAACGATTCTATAAATTCATACTGTATTAGAAAAATGCGAATTATTGATTATTTAAGAAATTATAACAGTATCATTTCAATTACTTCTAATTTCTGGTTCGAAAAATACCGTAAAGTGATATATTTGTGTCACAATCCATTACATTGATAAGTTTTGGATTATGCATAAAAAGTTACCTCTGTTTACGGTCATTAAATTCCACACACAGTGAACAAAATAAAAAAAAATAAAAATTAGATAACTTTTTTTTTTTTTAACAAATATAAAGTCAGTAGTTTCACTCATGATAATTCTAATGTTATTTCTAACGTTATTGAAAATTGATTAACCAACTCTATTTGGATTTTGATGCGAAGCTTTTCACATGCGTTGTGTTTGTTATATTTTTAATTTGATTGTGTAAGATGAACTTAGTATATTGAACCATAGTTGACCAAAAAAAAATTAAAAAAAATAAAATAGATAGACTATTGCTATTATTTCTGTCTCTCAATAACACAAGTATTTGTGAGTGGATTTGTAGATTCTAACTTACTCAACAAACGTTTGAAATGTGTATATATAACATGTAAAACTCTATATATCTCATGCTACAATCTTGTGTTGTTTATGATACAATTCTTGCTACATGGGGATAGAGTTCTATAAATATTGGGAGGACTTACCCACGTTAAAAGTTGAACCCCAACTTTGAGGGCTTTCACCGCCCCGTCCCTAGAGTATCGTGAGGGAAGTAAATCGCAAGATGTGTCCCAACAGATCAGGAAATAAGAGTTTGCCTGTACACTAGTGCTCACAAAGAGTTCAATTCCATATTTCAGGGATCGAAGGCTATTAGGAAAATTGAGACTACCTCACTCATATTATTCCTATTACCTGTGGTTACAGACTTTCATATTAACTTATAAGATTGTAGATGTATTATCAAAAAAAATTATCACATTTAATATTTGATAATTGCATTATACATTATGATATCAAAAGTACTTTGTGCAATTTATAATCTCTATATGCTGCCTAACATGATAGAAATAATGATCCACCATCATCACCTTCTATATTTTCTTCATTTCCTGATTACGGTGAATGGACCCATTTAAGTATGACTACTACATTAAGTTTATTATCTTCTTATTTTCTTCCAGTACTAGTACCAGACAAAATGAAATCCATGTTCAGTTTATCGTCTTCTTATTTATCTATTCTCGAATAGTCTACATCTACTAATGCCTCAAGTGTCAATTGCAACATTAGATTTCCTTACATGAAAAGATTTGAAAGAATATATATTTGACGCTCTAATGTAGTTGAAGGACGCAAGATACAAATCGTCAAATACAAGACAAGATGGTTAGTGGAATTGCTGAAATTTTTTAGTAATTATAATCTTTATGGATTTTTTGGTTCACTAAGTTTTAGATTATTGTACATAAACATTTCATTTGCTTTTTCTAAATAAAAACTGTACATGAAATATTCATCCGCATATAATTTTAACTCTATCTAAGGTTCCAAACCTGAATAAAGGAGGATGCTTTTCACAACTTTATAATTCTTTCAATAAAATAAACATTTTTACTTTAACAATTTTCTTACAAATTCACATCTTTTTTTTTTTTTTTTTTTTACAAGGTGTCCAATTCTTGACTAATCCTTGGGTCTGTGATCCGGCCCCTCTTCACACAGTCCAGTTAATCGCGGGATGTGCCTCCAACTAGCCAGGGTCCGAGCCCTCCCCAACTTAATCTGCCAAAGTGCCTAGCAAGCCAATCCAAATTGCACCTTGCCTTTCAAGAATAATCCTTTCCTTCCAAGATTTTCTCTTGCCTTCCAAGAATAAATCTTTGCCTTCCAAGAGCCCCATGAATCGAACTCACGACCTCTGATCTGCCAGCATTGAAAGAGCCCGTCCTTTACCAGTGGAGAAGTGCCCCGGGGGCTACAAATTCACATCTTCATTATATTTTAGGGTGTGAAAATACAATTTTAGTTAAAAACACAAGTCACAAATGACTCCTGAGTCAAGATTTTTGGAAAGATTATGCTCGCACTTGGTCGCCCAATATGCGAGCGCAAGCTGACTCGCATGGTGGGCTAAGTCGACCAGCAGCTCAACCTAGTCCAATTTTAATCCCAAAGTGGTGTAGGGGTATGGAAGATGAAGATGATTTAGTAATTTATATTAGACAAATTGTAACACGAAAGGTACTAAAGAAATGTAGTCTCCTATTTAAAACAAGTTTAATTACCTAAATACGAAAGAAAAAGGGACAAAATGTGGAGGTCATGGCACTCTCAGCCATTGCTGTCCCTTATTGTGTTTTCGCTTTCTCTCTCTCTCTCTCTCTCTCTCTCTCTCTCTCTCTCTTAAAAAACAAACAAAAAAAGAGAGTGTCTATTGGCATTCTCAATTTAAAATAAGAATATATCAATATAAAAGAAACAAGAAAAGGAATCTACCTTGTCCATAAAAACAACTTTGGTTCGTAATTACATTAAAGTACACAAAAATGGATCGTGTCTTAATAATTAATTAATTAAAATCTGTATAAAGAAAAGAAGAATTCCGGTTAAATAATTAAAATACTCATAATTATTTATCACTATAATGATTTAAGTTAAAGAAAAGAAAAAGCTCCCCCTTTTTTAATTTTGATTCAACTTCACTGAAACAGAATTTGACTCCTTTCTTTTCAAGGAAATTGCCTGCTGTACACCCCCTCACATGCTGGGTGGGCGTGAGGAGTGAGTGATTATTTAAAAAAAAAAAAAAAAAAAAAAAAAAAAAAAAAAAAAAAAAAAAAAAAAAAAAAAAAAAAAAAAAAATTTCAATCATCGAATAACTGATCATTATTTTTTAAGTAGTTTCCATTTGCAAATTATAATTTTATTTTCCAACGAATTTACACAAATGCACTGATGATCTGATGTCTTTTGGAAGGAAAAAAACAAAAAAAAATCTATAATGCATGATATAAATATGTTTTGAGGTCAGAATTTGATGTATTTTCTGTAGTTTAATGGCGATTGGTGTACTCTGCGCTTTTCTGCGAGATCTGAGAAAATGAGAGAGCAGCAGCTAAGAAGGGTTTCACTATTTAAAGACTAATTCAATGAAAAAGACAGTAATTTTCTTTAACAGAAAGGGCTTCTTAGATAGAATGAATGACAGGAATTAATTAGTGTCGGTGTTTTTATTGGTGCAAATTTAAAATAAATTGGAAGAGAAATAGTAACAAATGCCATATCAGCTGAAGTATACAATTTCCAAAATCTCGATTTTTAGTTTTGCAAATTTTACTTCTTGAAACAAATTATCGTCACTTAGTTCGATAAGAAATATTTAGGACTATTAACAGTACTTTCGTGGCTGCAGCTTTTTATTCTTTACAAGTAGAGGTTTTAGTACTAGTGCTATTTCGCAAACAACTCCCATGAAGAGACTGGTTTCTGGATTTTCTTCTAGCGGGCTTAAATGTGAGCTGTGACTATCTTTGAATTCTTGGTTGTATTGATAAATATGAAAAAAAAATGTACCGTCTATAATAGTTTGCTTTTAGATTTGATGGCTATTTAATAGGGCATCAGCGTATGAAATTTCATTGCTACCTATGATGATAATTGGATGCAGTAGACGTCTGGGAAAAATAAGTATAGTATGTATGTGAGGGAGTATGGAGACGACACGGTTCAGTTACGTTGTGGTCATTCAATGTTTATAAAGTTGGTTTTTTCACTTCGGTCTTTTAATCCTTTTTTTATTTAATACAAGATTATGATACATCCAAATGTATTTTGATCTTGCACACGTATGTTGTTAGAAAGAAGAAAGAGAAGAAGCCACCTTAATGCAGCAGAATACAAGACGACCGAACCTCTCATCTTTGGAAATACCTGCGCGGTCTCTGGAGAGCACATTGTATGATTTCGCTAGAATAGATATTCCAAGTCCTACTTCTACCAAAGCAGGCTTGCCTCCTAGACCGAACTCTGCAAAATTGATTTCATCTGTTAAAAATTTGCTTCCCCAAAGGAGTTTCAGGGGTAAACACCCAATTCAGGATGGTGAGAAGACAGTGCTTATTATCCCAGATACACCAAAATCGGGCAAACCTTCAACTTCAAGGTCATTTTCACTAAACAAATTCTTATTCTCTTCATCAACAAAAACTCATTCTTTACCTGTGACACCAATGGCGAACGTTGAACCTAAGCCCTCTGAGGAAAATAATGTCGATGGCAATTATAAACTACCTGTAAGTCCATTTCCTTAAAATTGGTTACTAACAACATGAAGTGCACTTCTGTTTTCTGCTCATTTATTGTATTTTCAACCTTTCCAACTAAACTTTGTTTCCTAACAGAAATATGAAGTTCGAAAGCACATGACACGCTCGTTTTCAGTTCCTGTACATGTTAGAACCAGAATCTTAAGGCAGACAGATTCACCTGGAGGTTTGATACGTGTAATATCTGCAGTCCATCGGTCTGCAACATATGAGAGTGCCTCCGTAGATATATCCCAAGAAATAGAAGGTGGTAAACATATGCATGAATTTATGATTTTTATGAATTTAGAATCCAACTTTAGTATCCATATTCAGTGAATCACATTTCATGCATGTGGTCAGACATATTAGCAATGGAAAGCACTAAAATTAAATTCCAAATTGCTACCTTGCTCTTTTTCTTGGAATCACTTCATTCAGCTACCCCGAGTTCCTCAACCCTGAAAACCTTCCTAATGTATGATCTATCTGTTTATATCATTTATTTTTTATTATTTCTCTTGATTTTGTGAAATTATTTATAATATGTTACCCTACATACAGCCCAGGATGATACTGGTGAAGACATTCCAGAAGAAGAAGCTGTGTGCAGAATTTGTTTTATCGAGCTTGGTGAAGGAGGTGAAATGCTCAAGATGGAGTGCAGCTGCAAAGGAGATCTTGCACTTGCACACAAGGAGTGTGCTGTGAAGTGGTTTAGCATCAAAGGTAACAAGACCTGTGATATTTGTAAGCAGGATGTCCGTAACCTTCCGGTAACATTATTGAAGATTCAAAATCCTCCAACTGTCGTAAGAAGGTCTGCAGCTGTACCACTACAGAGGGAAATGACTTCTTACAGGCAAGTTAAGCTAATACATGCATTTGTGTTGTCATTTTTACCCTTTCGTCCTTGATTAATTTCTGGCAATCCCCTAATATTTAGCTATGAGCAAAAGAATTGGTTAATGTTTCTTGCTTTTAATTTGAAAATGGTGCTGTGAATAATGTGTATCGCTGTCATATTTACATATCTTAAATTGCTTTTGACACTACTGAATCTAAGACATCAATTTGAAGTGTAGTTTCTGATTGATAGCATGCTTAACCTTGAAAATTCTATCTTCATTTCAACCAAATAGTGAAATCAAAAGTTAACTCATGCAGACCAAGGTTTCCTTTTCCATAATATCATGTACTTCAGCTCCAGTAATATCCTAATGAGCTAAAACTAACATGGATTCATTCCAATAATCAGTTCCTGAATTTATCACCACCAAGCATATTTTCTGTTGAAATTTAAGCAAATTTGTGGTTGGCAGCAAGAAATGCTTGGAGGCAGGGAAGGGATGTTGGGAAAAGGCTCTAAACCTTCGTGACAACACTTCATTTTCCTATAAATAGTTGTGTACAATAAATAGGCAGGGAAGAGGAGGGAAAGAAGTTGAAAATCCACAAATTTCAGTATTAAAACAAACTGAAAAAGAAGTCCGACTCACAATCCTTCCCCTGTCATGACCATCAAATGGGAGACCTTCATTCCCTCTTTTTCTTGTCTTGTCTTTCTATTACTCATTAGTTTCCAACATTTTATAGGTCAGAACTTCTTATTAAGTCATTTTACATTTCAACCTGAGCAATCCTTATGTGTCTCAAAATAAAAGCCTAAGTGCATAAGCTCTTCAAAACTAACAACTCTGCAAAAGTTAATGGTGGAGGTCATCCTGGCTCTATGTTTTCCAAAAGTTAAGTTGAATTACTTCAACTGTGGGCCATAAATTCTGCTATAACTTTATAATTACTAACCCTAGCTCCTCCTTGCACTGAACATAAAGTTTGAGGATTAAATGAAATAAAATAAAACTTAGTGGAATATAATCTCACAACTGATATTATGGTATTTGAACATGGTTTGGAGCTTTATAAAATTTGATTAGAAGAAATTTCAAGAAAAATAAATCACTTCCTGAATAAAAGATATACTTACTCTGGTGCATCAACTCTGACGCCTAATGCTATGGGAGAATTGTAGGAGAAGGGGAAAGGGGAGAGAGGAGGAGAAAGGAGGGAGAAATAGAAAAAAAGAGGGAGAGGAAGAGAGAAATAGGGGGAGAATATGAGTTTTTATTCATTCAAAGGTTGATTTATTACAACGCAAAAGGTCCCTTTACATAGGGTTTAAACTTGTGTTAATTTAAGCAGGAAATTATTCTAAAATCAACGAAATCAAGACAATTACTATGTTTCCTAGAATAAATATCAAAATTAGAAACTAAATATCATAATATATCTTTAATATTGCATCAAAATCTCTTTTGGTTGTTTGATGATCAAATTATAATGTGGTAACTTTTGTCTTTGTAAACTGAATTCTCTCATATTATTATGATATTCTCCCAATGTCATATAACCTAGTAAATGTGGTATAATGTTTTGTTTGGTAGCACCCTACTATAATGATTTAACAATATTGAAAATATCATTATATGACGACTTTTCTTATTCCTCTTCCTCTCAAAGCATACCATTGCCATTAGATTAGTAGGCTACAAAGTTATTATCATTTAGCTGGTATTTTAAACCCACCTGTTACCAATCATCAGGAGATATCCAAATCTACAAATGGCATCCCTAAAACCCAAAACAAGTCAAAATCAGAAGGTTTTTTCTTCTATGAGTTTAGTCAAATGTAGAAGGTTGTGGTTTCAGAAGTGTTTATCAGTATATTTATCTAAATCCCTCATGTCGATGCCCTGTGTTTTTATTTTCTCTATTAGAAACATGTTCCCATTGTAAAAGTATTCTTCATTGATGGTGGAAATTTACAGTGCCCAAGTACAATATGACAAATAGTTCGATGCTTCCTGGACCTTTACGTTAATCCATTGTTTTTTTTTTTTTT